AACAAAAATTAGACATTGAAGTAGAAATAGAAAACCTCTTACAAAACAATCTAAAGTTTAATTCTTACATCAAGCCCATAAGGTGGCAATCTTAAGTATAAAATACAAAGTAGAGTCCTTACGAAATTTTATATCAAAGTACAAAATAACTATTGCACTCAAATTATATCCTAAACAATTATCAAAGATCTGTAAATGGGTCTAGTTGAACTCCAAAGGATGACTCGAGAAGCAAACCCTCAACTTTCTCAACAGTTTGGGGGAGGGGGGGGGGAGGGGAAGGGGGGCACGAATTAGGGATGAGTTCCATGTAAACTCAGTAAGGGAAACAATATTTAAAATTACACGACTAAGGTTTAAAAAGTAACGACATGAATAATACTTTTTAAACCTCTTACCATGGAGAATCATCACAGAATGAAATAATTTAATCATTCAAAAAACCCTTGTCTTTATTAGGAAATTCAGTGAAACAATTGTACAATCATGCTAACAACGCCATTACTCAACATTTATGCAGACATATTACATCACATATGATCAAACAGATAGTATCCTTGATAAACAGAGGAATCAATCATACAAATCACCATAGAGATACCAGTAACACAAGCAGCACACTTTGCAAACAGAAGAACCATCATACAAATCATTATTAGTATTCTAAACTATATCTAGGTTGTATTAAGTCTTTTACTGACTTTCACGTAAAGCCATTACAACATATATCATCTAAGGGAAAAAAAGATCCTCGGCTACCCTGTGAATCATCGACCCATTTTCGCGTTATTCTCATTTTTCTATCTAAACTATAACCATGGCCGTACTTCATCATTGTGACCCTACATATGTACCTAATGTGTATTATCTCTCGTCAGAGAAATTATAGATTATCATAGGGAGCAGTTCACCAACACCTTTTTGGAGGGGGGAGAAACAAAAACCCCTTAGAGTTAACAGTTGAATGAATTTTTTCATTATGTTCATTTTTTTATTTCATGCTCACAACAATTTCATACCATATGCATGCCACATGTTCAACGCAACCATACCCGAATCTATCAGGATTCCATAACTTATCCGGTCTGAAGACCCATTTTTACATGTCCAGCTTGTAAGCCTATTTCACGTATCCAGCCCGAAGGCCTATTTACTCGGACTTGACTTTCGGGTCATCATTTTGAACCAAAATCCACTAAAATAACAATTTTCACCATTACTAAGGTAAGGCGAAGGGTCCAGCCCGCATGCAATTTTCAATCATCATGTCTTTGCGCATTATGCGAAATATGTCATGGATTAAACTGTATCAAATATTAAGGGAACTCATGCACTAATCATCATGTTCATCAATGCCGTATACATAAATAAGCATCCATCATAGCAGGAATCTATGCATCGCAGTCACATGGCACGATCATCATATATTATACCGCAAATAATCATAGTATGTTGAGTTTCACTTGAGGAACTCAGCAGGGCTCATTAACATTTTGGGCCAAAGGTCCCATGTACTCGGATTTGACGATTCGGGCTGTTCTTTAAAGCTGGAGCTCCTTAGAATAACCTTTTTTTGTCATTACCAAAAGTAAGACAAAGGGTTAAACCCATGTGCTTCCCAAGCCGTCATTTAAAATATTTTTATCATGATTAATTATCAAATTAAGTCATTAAATAAGTATAAGAACCTATTTCAACAAATATATAATTTCACTAAATTAATTAACTAAAAAAAGGCACTTATAAGCGTAAATAAAAATACTAAAAAATTTCTTACCGTAACCGAAGCTAAGTCTTTAGAGAATGAAGAAAGAGACTTTTGGAGACTCCTGAACAACTTGTAAGTTTCCAACTTTTTCTTCTACTTCTAGCCTTTTTTCCTCTTCAAATTCTCTCTTTCTCTCTTAAGGTTTTTATATCGAAGAAGTAGAGAATGGAAGGAAAAAACGAAGTGCCAAGATGAGTGAAAAATAGAAAGCAAGAGGGAGTGTGAAAGGATGTAGAAAAAAGGAGCCATTAAATAGGCAAAAGAGGTGATTCGGATGTGCGACAAGTGGCAAAATTGGAGGAGCCAAGTGAAGCAAAGTGGGTGGCCATTGGGCCCACTTGACATGGCTAATCTTGCCCGACGAGACAAGGCAACCGCGCCGTCAGCTGTTGGTTGTCAACATGCAGGAGCGCACTGTGCGCGCTCAGGCTGCCTGCCATGCGCACAGGTACAGCCATGTCATGCACTGTGCGCGCATACCATGCACACAGTTGCGTGCGTACCACGCCCACAGTTGTGCGCAGGGCGTGCGCAATGTGTACTCTCGGGTTTGCCCGCACGGGCTAACTGCGTGTCGGACCGCGGGCTCGTGAGCCGTGGACTTTACTTCCCTTTCGTTGATTTTTTCCCCCGACACTCGCTATTTCTTGAAAATTAAATTAAAAAATAATTTGGGTAAAATTATATAAATTATTGTAAGGCAAAATATCATTAAATTTAAATATAAGTGGAAGTTTAAATGGTCATGAGGCCCAAAATAACAGAGTCCAACGCGCGTTAAATGTAAAGAATTTTCGGGGTGTTACATCTACCATTATATGAAGGTTGATTCCACAGTGAGGACATGGGATGATCTCTTTTCTTCATATGTTTTCATTGCATTCATCAATCACTGATGCCGCCCCCCCCCCCTCCCCCAATCTGCTTCCTTCCTCATCTTTTTGTCAGGGTTTATGAGTGGTTGACCCGTCAGTTCAAACACCATTTTCATCATTTTCAACTAGCCTCCTGCTTCATGTCATTCAAGAATAAAAATGTGTTTTCTATTCTTTCCCTTCTCCTTTGTCAAAACAAGAAACCGGTCATACCTATCCTACCTAGAGCCACCCACAGCTTATGATCGCTATCAAAAGAGTGCTTCCCCCACGTTCCCCCTCTCTTACGCTAGTAAAAATCAACGAATAAGTCCATCAGCTAATTAATACCACCACTTACCAACATTATCGACGCCCTAAATCCCCTTCAATTCTCGCTAATCCTAATCCTCTCATTTTCCTTTCCCTCATAGATCATGTCAAAAGACTTATGGTCTATGAAATTTTTTTTTTTTCCATTTTGACACTATCCCTTACGCTCCTTGGTCAACTTCACTAGGCAACCCTTCCACACCTACCACCTCTACTTCTTTTCTTCCTATGAATGAGATGAATCGCTCCTCCTCTCACTAGAACTTATTCCAACAACTCTTTGGTTAGAAAGACAACAACGAAGAATCCTCGATATCTCTCTTTCCCTCTAAAACTATTGAAGGTGATAATGTTCCTGAAAATTCATTCGAATAGAATCCTAAAGCTGCCCTCCAATCCTTGTTCTCTAGCCTAGACTTGCCATTAATCACCCTACAGGAAAAATTTCCCTCATCAAACATATATATCCATAAACAATTCCTCCTCCTTTCAAAAGCTCCACTCCCCCTTATGATGAGATTACTTCTCTTATTATTCTTTTTATATATTATTTCTCTCTTTATCGTTATCAATCAATAAAGAACATAATCGTTTTGTTACAAGCATAGGGGATCAAGAGAAGGAAACAAGAAAAGGAAAGGATTGACAATTCAAAGGTTTTCCAAATATATTCAAGATGCATAGAAATCACAAAACAGACACAATCCAAATATTGATAAGCATCTATATCATTAAGAAGGATTGCATAAACAAATAGTAAGGTCAAATCTACAAGCAACTTTCCAAACAAAATATTACAACCCATATTAATAAGTATTCAACAAGTAGCTAATCAATGAGACGTGGCTTAAGCATGTGATATTGACTAACAATGGATTAACTACCATTAGTACTTATTTAGAAACATTTTAAAGGCATAAGAACTTGTACAGAGTAAAAACAAAAAGGTGCTAAGGGTTTGTTTAAACAAAAACAATTACCAATAGTAGATTTTCAACCAATAATAAATTTTAAAAAATATACAAGATTTACAAATATAAAAATATACTCAAAACCTAAATCGAAATATTTACTGGTAGAGTATTCACTAAACAAAGTTTCGTCCAAATTCCTAACTGGAGAGCAGTATGATTGGAGCTCACTGGAGAGCAGTATGATTGGAGCTCATGACTCTTGCCTACCATTAACTTCTAACTAGCACTTCAAATCATTATTCCAGAAAAAAAAAATAGCACTTAAAAATCCCGTGACAAACAATTAAATCTTTATTATTTAACTATAATAAATTATTTGATTTAAAATAAATTTTATATTTCAAAGTTATCTTTTCTTAATAAATTTATACTTGCATAGTTTTTGCATTGCCACCGAAATCATAAATCTTCTTAGTCATTTTACAGAAAACATCAGCTCTAGATACTAACACCTCTATAACAATAACTAACATTAACAGAAAGTTAGGGTATAAAATATAAAAATAGGACATATATTAAGGACAAAGCATAAAATATAAACAGCTTCATTTTTCTTCCCTTCTCAATATATACGAACCCGTATATACATCACTACAATATAAACAAGAACAATGAAAATAATGGATGACACATCTCTATAACAGTAACTAACATTAACAAAATTCAGATTCTCACTGTGCTTATGAGTTCCAAAAATCCATTTCTTTTTCCATATTGTTTTGTTACTTCTTCATCCCTCCCATTTGCAACTACCACTATTTCTTCTTTATACCAAGGGAAAAAAACACCTCTATTACCTGGCAAAATGAGGATGGCAACAAGGAGGAGAATATACATGACAGCAATAAAGCTGATACACAAATCTGCAAGCACTGCGTAGAACAGTAAATGCTTGACGATAGAATGAACTCCTGAGGCCCTCATGGTCGGAAGATTCTCATGGTTTTGCTCACTTGAAGCCGACAGAATGGGCACCTTGAGACAGCAGACGAGCATTTCCGACAAAGTACATGGCCACAAGGAATTATGGTCATATCGACTTCATTGCTCAAACAGACACGGCAGATCCATGCCACTTTTGCTGTGTCCGCGTCTTTTGCAGCTACATCTGCCTTTTCCTGCAGATTTATTTGTAAGATTAAAGCTAATATTTTAGAAAGGGAAAAAAAAGTAGACAGAGGAAAGAGCAAAATCAAGAGCACAGTGGGCACAGAGAATGAAAATTTTATTACTTACAAGATATTATAAATCATTAATTCTTTAATCTGTTGTGAATAAAACATACTGAAAAAGAATCATTGTAACATGACAGACCGTGCATAAACAAAGATATCTACTGCTTGTTTTTATCAATAAGACCATCACAACAAAAAATTTCCCAAAACCATATTTGAAAAGCTTGTATTCTTTCACCTCAAACAAAACAAGCTTCTCAATATGTTACCTCAAACATTCCTGCAACCAATCTTTAATTTCTTAATTATCCCTATTTGTGCGCATGGTTGTGCGGTGTATGGGTGTGTGCGCATGCGGACATGGGCATGGGTGGTTTCTGGTGTGTGTGCTTGTAAATGTGTGTGTGTGTGTGTGTGAGAGAGAGAGAGATAGATAGATAGCTATATATATATATATAGAGAGAGAGAGAGAGAGAATAAAATGTCTCCTTACTGAAAACAAAAGAGGAAATGACTGTTCATACAACCAATGGTGATAGCTGCCTTGGTAAATAATGGGATCAGAAATCACTATACGATCTATAGTGCTAAGCCAGAAAAATTAAATCACAAAGCACTGGACTGTTGTTATAAAACAATATAATAATGGTCAAAATAATTGTACATTACAATGTCGAATCACAAAAACAAACCTGCTCAAGCAACAATGCTGCTTGTGACTCCTTGAGTTCTTCTTGAAGAGTTAAGTTTCTATGTAGTAGAGATTGCTTATCCACTTCCATGCTAATCCCAGCTGCAGAAAGCATCTCGTGAACTGCCTGAACCAGTTCTGCAGCTGAGACTGGAGCAGCATACTGAAGCTCCTTAACAGGTGGCAGCTATATTTGAAGAATGCCAGTCAAGATATTATCATTACTTTGTCTACAAAGTGCAGTATGCTAGAATAAAACATAATACTGAACTTAAAAGCAATGAACATCAGATTATTGGAAAGAATAGTGAGAATGACCCTACAAAGAAACACTAAATTAGAAAAATGTTAGGACCTATGTGAACACATTAGCTTAGCTAAGTGATGAATTCAGGAATTACACACAAATTTAGCATGCACAGAGAACAGAAGAAGGCAGAAGTAAGAGAGATGTCAAAAAGCAAGGAAAACTGAGAGAAGAACTTTTTGAAACTTGCATTATACATGAAAAGTGAAACTACTAAAAATTCAACATTACAGCTCTCTTAGCATACACAAAGCTAACAACTCTAGTAACTGCACAACTTTTTCAATGACTGGCAACTAATTAAGAACACCCGTTATTGCTAACAATTACTAATCCCTTTTTAGCAGCAAAAATAGTAGATACAAACAAAAGTAAGCATCAGAAAAAGAAAATACTGAGCTTAATAGCCAGAAGTTAACACTGAGTTCAGCATCAAAATCTGGTACAACTCTTAAAGCAAGTCATCTTGAAGAAGACAGTAATAGTAGGCAATCTACCAGAAGAATAGATTGAAAATACTAAAATAATAAGGCGGATACGGGGATATGAACAGAATTATAGTATAGGTGGGTTAATATTTTTGGGTCTTTAATACTCGGACATGACCTTAACGGGTGAGATTATTTGGGAAAAATCATTGATGTTCTAACCGAAATGTAAATATTTTATACATGGGTGGCACCCCTTGGTGTCGTATATTTAAAACGCTTATTCTTTTTATCTCAAAAAATATAAGATGGCGTTTATGGAGTAGATTGTATGCACATATGTAATTAACCAAAAAACACATATTTAAAAGTTTACAGAGGTCAAAACCTGATAAGTTCTTGGTTTGGCTTCTCTAGAACTTTCCGGTGCCTTGACCTGAGACCTATTATTAATTACTGTAGGAGACACGTCCAGCAGAGATGCTGAGGTACCTTCATTTTCCATCGATACACTTCTGAATGAGAACACTTGGGAAGAAAGAAGAAGCTCAGTCATTGCCGGTGAAGTTTCCACCTTGAATCTGTAGAGAGCTTGGCCAGCTGAAGGTCTGACATTCTCTGGAACTCTCCCATATTTCAACTTGTTCCCATGTTGAGTCCGCCAAGCAACAATTTCTCCTCTATAGAAAGGTCTTGATGGATGAATTTGCACTTGGAGGGCATCTTGAGGCAGTATTTCTTTCCCTACAAAGCTAGTAGGTGTGGCTTCAATTACTCGCTTGACAGGACATAGTCCCATGAAGGTAACAATTGCGGATTCAGAGCCTTCAGGGCAAGAAAACAAAAATCCAATAGGTAAAGGAGCGGGAGAGCCTAAAACCTGGCTCACTACAGTGGCAACAACATCAAGCACAGCTAGGTAACTTGGTGGTTCTGCCACTAAAAACCGCGTCTTTGACTGATTGATGAAGTACAGTGTTCTATGTCTACATCCATCCTCCCACTCTGGAATAATAGAATCCTTAGATACTAGAGTTATATCCACAGAACTTTGGAGAAGCAGAAATCTAGTATATATGCAGTTAACAAACTGTAATTCTGCTGCAACAGAGCGTAGCGAGGTTTCTATGGTTTCCAAAGGTATATTGTTGATAGAAGGAATGTACCCAGCTACGCTATTCAGAAGAATCCAAACAGCTGCCTGAAGAGACCTGCTTCGCAGCTTCTCTCGAATAAGTTCTACCGCAACAGACCCAATGTAATCTAAAGGTTGGATATCTTGTTCACAATCAAGTTCCTGCATGTTCATGGAAAGGTTTCCCAAATGAGCAGACAACATCATATCAGAATCATCTAAAAACTAAATCATAAAGCACTAAGAAGTTACAGAAACAAAATACCTCCATAACAACATCAGAAATTTTTCTGATACCCAAGTCTATGCATATTCTCTCTGGAAGATCTGGGTGCACAAATCTTAATCTAGAAGTGTCAATATATTTAACACAGCGAGATCCGTAAGGATCAACATATACACAAGATTGCGCATGAACAAGTCTGCAGCCATCGTCTGGGATTATTGCATCTGATCTCCAATTGAGTCCATCAGATACATCTAACTCGGCATTACAAACAAAATACAAAATCTCCATCACAGCACGGAGTTCATTTGGATTTAGACGCTGATACCCACATGCCTTCTGGAGAGTCAAAAGAAGATCCTTTGCTGATGCAACTGATAACATGTCCTGAAGCCCTAAATCTTTGAGAATTTTCACAAAAGGAAGATATAGACTAGGAAGTTCAAATGCAAATGGAGATAGATTTATTGTAAGGCGAACAAAAAGGGCATTTGCTATCACCAAGCGTGTTCCATTTGCAGCTGGTATAAATGCTACTCTCTGTAACTCCGATATATCTGAACAAACGAAAATAAAAGCGTAGAATTTTTAATTTGAATAATTATTATTAAGAATATAAATATAAAGTTAGCCACAATCAATTATTTTACATGGTACCAGAATAAGAGGTTTACAGTTTGAATATTGACTATCACCCTATTTGTTTGTCAAAAAAAAAAAAATTCACTATCACCCTATTTCTAATAATTAAATTTCAACTTATAATAGGTTTATGTTTCAACCTCATTTTTTGCCTAGCAGACTTGTTCGTGAAAGAATGTTTGAAGTGTAAATAACATATTATGTTATTTAATATCGGTTTCAGTTTTTTAGATAATTGGTCGTGTACAAAGGTGCATATATATATATATATGTAACAATTTTGTAAAAGGGTATGTTAGAAAATATGCCTATATAATTAAGTGTTCGGATAAGATTAGATTTTCTTTTTCTTTTTTCTCTTTTCTCCTAAAGCTGTATATATAGTGGCAGATTATTCAATAGATTACCACATTTTATTTTCCCTCATGTTATCAGACATATAGAAAAAATATCTTAATTTTTTTTTTTTCACAAACCTGAAATCAGTCGTTATTGCCAGAATTAAATGAAAGAAACCCTAAACATGTAACTGGCCTTTATAGCCAAAGCTCTGTAGCTATCCTACTACTGCATAGCTAGCCTTCATAATCGAAAAACACCCAGCCACGTCTCTTTTTCAAAAGCTGGCCTTCATGGGATGAAGAAGATTGTACGATTATAGCTTGGTTCCAGAACTCAATACAACCAGAAATCTATTACAGAATTTGCCAATCTCCTGAAAGATTGGTGGCAAGAGAGAGATCAATATTACTGCACAGACATTAAATTTTTTTTTAAATTATGTATCTGTCTTAAAATCTTGTATCTGTCTTAATATAGTGAGGATAGGTACTCTCTGAAAATCTTGTATCTGTCTTAATATAGTGAGGATACATATTCTCTGAAAATCTTTATTGAGAAAGACAAAGTCTATAAGTTTTTTGGCAAGTCTCAACATGGAATTACATCAAGTTATGTTTCAAATACTGAGGAAAGAAGAATTATCCTTTCTGAATGAGGTAGTCTATACTGTTGTAGTAAAAGAAAGTAGAATGCAGATCATGCTAGAAACCCGATCAAATGAGGGCTTAAGAATGCTGCCCAACAGACCAAAAGTCCGCTGGCAGACCAATAAGGAGCATAGCCACACAAAAGCAACCAAAGCAAGTGTAAAGAATTGAGATAATCTATGGTTCACTCTTTGCCAAAAAAAAAATGGAGACACAACATGAAAAGTGTTGAAAACTACATAAAAGGCCTCTCATCTCCAGCAAAGACAGCAGACATAAGAATGCCCCAAAGAGAAACCATGGATAGACTCATTTGACAAATCAACAAGTGAAAGACAAGACTCCAAACTACAGGGGGTTTAAATAGGAAATTGAAAGATTGAGAACTTGCTCTGAATATGTAGAAAATCCCACAAGTACTAGTCTATTGGCACATTCAGGTAAGTTTCCTATTTCACATAGTTTAAATGCCTCATATAGATCTGTTTGTACATTCTTGGATTATAGACTATTGTATTCACTGATTCTATGAAATATTCCTCCTACTATTAGTACATATATTTCTTGTCCTAATAGCAGAAAAATAACCACTGCAGATGGCTCACTAACCACTATGACAAGAGTTGGGAATGTCAAGATTAGTCTTACCTTTACTTTTAATGATGTATATGTTAAGAATGGTTTGATGTGTATTTGTTGAGTAACATATTTTATTATTTAATTATTTTACTTTATTGTTGAATTAGTTGATATTATATAATTAGAAATTTTATGAGATGATAATCTCATATATTTAAAATTAGTAAAATAAGAATTTTCTTATTAATAGTATAAAAATTCTGTAAATAATTTAAGTGTAACAATCTAAAAAATAATAAATAAAATTATTTTTTATCCTAAAGCAACATGGCATTAGAGCCAAATAAAGCTATTTATGGTCTTAATAAACCCTAAAATAGCACAATAAATTAGGTTGGTACCTACTTATCCAGAGTTACCCTCTTCACCCCTCTATTTTGGGGTTCTAATTTCAGGATCTTTCCAAACCCTAAAACAACAAAAATAAGCTGAGTAGAAAGAGCGCTAAATCAGAAGAAGAGAGGAAGCAGCCAATCTGGTCACATTTGCTGCAGGGATGAACAGATGCACACAGACATCTCGCCGATCTGATCGCATATGGTGCAGATCTGCCTCGCCATGCCACTGCCAAGATCTGCGCAATCTGGTCGCATCTGGTGCAGGGACAGACAGACACACACAGATGTCTCACCAATCTGGTCGCATCTGGTGCAGATCCGCTTCGTTGTGCCACTGCCAAGATCCGCGCACAGAGCTGCTAGCCGCAACTCACCAGCCTCCGCGTCGCACAAACTCACGCTCCGGCCATCTGCGTCACATAGACGCACAGATGCACCGCCATCTTCTTCCGCCGCGCGTGGGAAGCTTTTCTGGACGCGATCTGCTTCCCTTAGCAGACGCGTCGTTTGCTGTGCCTTCATACACGATTGCAGACACGATCTGCTTCACTTTTCTGGCTGTGCTGTGTCCTGCGGATCTGCCTGAGCTGAGGAAGCAAAACCACGAGCCGAGCTACTTGTGACGAGCCATTTTGGAGCCGAGTTCGAGCTGTTTTTATGCCAAATTCAAGCCTTTTTCGATTCGATTTTGAGTAGTTTTTGAGCCGACATCGAGCCATTTTTGAGCCGAACCCGAGCCAGTTTTTGAGACAAACCGAGCTAAACTGCTACCTGAAAGATCTGGTTTCAGTTTGCAACTTGGTTTGCAAGTTAGACTTATGTAATATACTTGCACCAACTTCAGGGAGGGTGTTAAGTAACATATTTTAATATTTAATTATTTTATTTTATTTTAATTAGTTGGTATTATGTAATTTACATTTTATAAGAATAATAATTTCATATAATTATAAATTTAGTAAAATAAGAATTTTCCTATCAATAGGATAGGAATTCTACAAATATCTTAAGTGTAACAATGTAAAAGATGAGAAATAAAATTATTTTTTCTTCTAAAATCAACAATATTCTATTAATTATTACAACCCTATATATATAGATTTTTTAGAACTGAAAATAAAATAGATACTTAATTATCAATAATGTAATTTACCTTTACACCACTTAATCTAATTTACCATCTCTTTAACATTCTCCCTCAAACTGGAGAGTAAATATAATCTGTCCTAGTTTGTCAATAAGTGTTTGGAGTGCCAGGTTGGTTATGCCTTTAGTTAACACATGCTAGTTGAGAATTAACAGGCATATGTAGGGTACATATTATGTCACCATCAAGATTTTCTTTGATAAAATGTTTTTCGATCTCGATGTGTTTGGTTGAATCGTGTTACATCGGATAGTGAGCGATACTTATGACAAACTTATTGTTACAA